GGAGCGGCTGAAGAAATAGGAAAAGGAACGCCAAGCACCCCCCCCCTCCTCCCTGGGCCCTTCCCCTCCTCTTTTCCATCTTCATCTTCAGCATCACCAGCAGCAGACCCTCAGCTTCATCCCCGTCCTCTTCATCATCCCTGAAGAGCGCCACGTTTGGGAAGGAGAGGAGCGTCGAGAGCGCGCAACCAGCGTTCGTCTCGATGCCGCACCAACCCCCACCGCCTCTCAGACGCGCGTTCCACTCCAGTCCGAGGGGTTGAAGATGCAGGAGAAATGGCTGTGGGGACAAATGACGCTCAATCTTCTTTTATGACACACGAAGCAGTCTAAAGAATACAAGGTAGGACATTTATTTAGTTCCCACCTCATCCCCCTCGCACGCCCAAACAATGTAAATACGAACAACTGATAATAGTGTGTGGAAAATTGATTCCTGACTCCTCCTAGAAAGCAACGCATCCTTTTTTTTTGTTGTTCCTATACGCAAATCCACGGGGCTGACATTTTAAGTACTGGATAGTGGTTTTGCTTCTCGATAACAATAGAAATGGCTTTTATTAAGATTGTTACGAGCAATCGATAATTGCCAACGTGCGTTCTAATCGAGCGAGAGCTCAACTACACCGTGTAGGAGGCGAATAATAGCTTGTGGCTGCCCCCTTGTGGTCGTAATGTCCTAAAAGGCACGCAGAACGTTTATTGATCATATGTCACAAGGAAAAGAAAGAGTGGGGGGGGGGGCTCATATTAGCTTTTTCACCTTTCGACCTTTTTATCTTCTTGTGGCGCCATGCTTTAAATGGGCCGCATTGGTATTGTGTGTGTGTTTGTGTGTGTGTGTGTGTGTGCTCTTGTTATGTAATGTCAACCCCCCCATCACCCTGAATCAGCCTCACACCACTTGCTTACGTGAAGCTGCATGGCATATATCCGTATACAACACACCACAATATTATGACCACTTGCGAAAATAAACCAAAAATGATGCAATGAATAGTGTCTCATTTTCACGACTAGTCAGAAAGGTGTTCATTTATTAATGTGGGTGGAGCATAGCAAAGTTGGGTGATCTTTTGGAGGATTAGTCCTAAAAAAAGAAGAAAAAAAAAGGTGTGTGAAAAGTCAAAAAAAATAAAAAATTACAGCCGGACACCAATTTCATAGATTGAAATGAAATTGGCTGGACATGTCTATTTGTGACAAAATGAAAATGATAAATCCATTTTGCAGGAAACATGATGTTGACTCACTTGATTTGCATGAGTGGGCCACAAAAAAAAAAAAATGATGGCAGGGCGGATCTGGTTGAGTTTGACACATGCGCTTTATATCATTTTTAAAGTATGTCAGCAGCTGTGCTGTTTTTTATTTATTTTTTTTTTTGCGCGTGGGCAAGGTTGCACACAGAGAACACAAGTGAAGAAATATGCAAATATAGCTCTCGACTCCTCCAATTGGGTGAAGTTGGAATCACAGATAAGATGAGGAACCAAATTAAACAGAAGAGCAAACGTTATAAAATATACTAGCTTGAGAAAGAGTAATTACTGTACATACTAGAGTCTTTGTGCATTGGATGTATGCCTTTAAGGGGCGTGTCCTAATGAATGACAGTGTGCACGCTGGAGGGAAGGCCCTCCTCTGCCACCCGTTGGGGAGACACAAGAACAGGATCATGACAGCCTTTTGCTTTATGTTCACAATAGGTTTTTCTGGCTCTTTGTCGCCAGTGATTTATGTTCATACTTTGTCGATCCTTCGCTTTTCTATAAATAAATATTTTTGTTTCGTAGTTTGTCTGATTCTGCGTTTGTGGGATCCGCACACCATCTGCTTCGTTTTCGAACCACACACACACACACACACACACACACACGTTTTCTTATAAAATGACAGTTTTTTAAAAATACTGTACAGAACATTTTGATAATAGTGTGGGTTTTGTCATGGAGAAAATTTGGCACGCTGTACAACGATGGGGCACGGAGACTGGTGACATTAGTCTACAGTCCCTTAGCCAATCAGGATGCAAAACACAACGCACTCTGTAAAATAAATAAATAAATGATTCATGTAAAAAAAATGCACGAAAAAAAGCCGTGAAAGATGAACCGTGTTATAGCAAGGGATTTCTGTGTGTGTGTGTGTGTGTGTGTGTGTGTGTGTGTGTGTGTGTGTGTGTGTGTGTGTGTGTGTGTGTGTGTATAAAATATAAACATGAAAGAAAATCTTCACACGGGCATTGCTGGAGACTTCCTCCCCTCATGCATCTTTAAAAAGGCCACATTTAGAAAGTGCTGACTTCTCCCTGCATGTATGATTGATAATATCAACTCCAAGGGGGGATGTTCTCTGTCTGCCATTCGCCCAAAAAACTAGCATGATGTTTGTTGTCTGTCATACCAACCTTCACTCACATTCAGAACTTGATTTTGTTCTTTTATTCCGTGTACAACTTCATTTCTGCTATTTACCTCAAGTGGAAGGGTACAGATGGTAAGTGTGCTGCGTCTTGTCCCGGTGCCCTCGTATCTTCGTATTCTATCATCACTAGCGCTTTTTTCGGTTGGCTGGAGGTCAAACAAATTACCCCAGGTCGGACTGCGTCACTTTGTGCTAATGGCTTTTTGATGCTCCTCACACTCACTTTGTTCCGCGTCAATACATTCGGAATTTAGTAGCAAATGAGGGGAAAAGCCCAACTGCCACTGCCTAATGAATACATGAAAAGTTTAATTTTGTTGAGTTGAAAATACACTCAAAATAAATGAAGTGTCCTGTAATGTAGCGCTACAATGAAGTTTAGGATAATACATACATGAATCAATTTAGGATTATGTCATAAAACATTTTACTGATCAATATATCATAATAAATACAATAAATAAGATATTTTAAGAGCGAGTATGGACAAAAGTATTGGTCCCCCCTCTTACACAATTCAACAGTGTGTAAGTACCAGTGACGTCTCTGGCATGAAAAGTTGAGTGGGGCACCACAGTGGGCACTTTCCATCCACAAGCAGCAAAGCCTACACAGTAAATTCTAAATCAAGAACACAATCCATTTCATTCATAGCCAAATTAAGGCTCTGAATAAAACTTGAATTGTCCATAAAACGATGTGACTGATGAGTGTTGTTTAATTCTTAAAAACAAAGGCTACACATCTATCTTTCCTCTGGGCAAATTTGTCAATAAACCATCTGTCAAAGTCCAGTAATTCATGAATGAATTCGTGTTTAGTCAGACGTTCTGAAAGCTACTTCAAATCATTCAATTCAATGGTATTTATTCTGTGTTATTGTTCTTGCTAACATATTTTGTGAATTCTTTTCTAGAAAGAAGACCAATTTTGTTCACAATTACTGTATTTTGAGCCTGCGTAGTCCTCTACACCGCCATGTAGTGGGGCCAGGACCCACTGGCCCCAAATGCAGAGACATCACTGATAAGTACAAGTAAAGCATATTTGCAGTTCCCTATTCGCAAATTCGCACGGTGGTCGACTGGTTAGCACGTCGGACTCACAGCGCAGAGGTGCAGGGTTCGATTCTGGCTGAAGCGGATTACAAAATGGATGGATGGATATTCGCAAATTCACCGAGTTGTGTTTGATACCACCAAACAAAACCTTGTCCAAATAGGAAAGTAGTACAGTAGAAAGAAGTCCAGTTTTTGTACTCTGGTGCTGCAAGAAATTTGACGTCCTTATTGGTTTTTCAGCTCCACAGAGGCAACAATGGCAGGTCTGGTCATAACAGACAATATGTCAGTTATTACAATCAGAGCTCCTGGTGGAATTGGCTCGGGGTGTCGACTGCCTTATCTCATTGTCATCCTTTCAACCTCCCTGTCTCGAAATTTACAGCCGGCCTTTCATCACTGGAGCAGTCGCCGCATGTCAGCCCGTCAATATCCTTTGAGAAATGTTTTCACCCCTGCTTTCACGCTGATGAATCACTGCCACGCTCAATGCATTACCTTCTCTGTACGTCATAATTAAAGCGGCCCCTCAAGGCGACTTCACCGCTGGACCGAAATCTGATCCCATTAGATTTATTTGAATTGGATCTAATGAGAGAAGTCAAGGGGATTATCTCATTCACTTCAAGATGTGACGCCACATTCAAAAACAAGTGAGTCTAAAATGCGCTGCAGGACCTCCATTGGCGGCAGCAAAATGGCGGCGCGCACAGACGCGAAGTCAGGAGCTCTCCCTTTGGATGCAGTATTAGTTGTATATTTGTATATATTTTTTCTCTCCCAGTCAGTAACCTGCTGGGCGAAGGTCGTGTACAACCGACAAGACCTATTAGACATTGGATTACGATGTGAACACGCCATTACGGCCGAATTCACGAAACACAACAACATACCAGTGGATATTGCGCGCCAACCTGGGTCTCCATGGATAACACCGGGAATACGACGTCGAAGGAAGCGCCGCGGCGACCGTGGAGGAGCGCTAAACAGATTGAAGCGCGACCCACACAGACCATCCATTCCGAGCCTTTTCCTTGCTAACGTGAGGTCATTGGCAACAAAAATGGACGAGTTGAGACTCAGGGTGGCGACAAAGACCATCAACAGCTGTGCACTACTCATCACCGAGAGTTGGCTAACACCTAGCATCTCGGATGCTAACATTGAAATCCCTGGGTACACAATTCACCGACAAGACCGCAGCAAAGAGTCCACAGGGAAATCACGGGGCGGTGGAGTAGTGATCTACCTAAACAACAACTGGACTTCAGACTCCAAGCTGGTAAGCAGTCACTGCTCCCAAGACCTGGAATATATAACAGTAAAGTGCAGACCATTCCACCTGGCCAGAGAACACTGTGCCGTCTTCATTACTGTTGTGTATATAGCCCCGGATGCTAACGCTAGCATAGCATTATCCACCCTCCACGATACCATCAGCGCCCAACAAAACAAATACCCCCACGCCGTCCACATAACAGCGGGGGACTTCAACCAGACGAACCTTAAGTCAGTGCTCCCTAAACTATACCAGCATGTGAAGTGTGCCACAAGGGGAGATAACACACTGGACAAGGTCTACACAAACATCAAGAACGGCTATAGGGCCAGACAATTGCCCCAACTTGATCAGTCTGATCACATGTCCCTGCTCCTGATACCAGCATACAAACCTATCAAGAAAAGCGCCCCCATCACAACAAAAACTGTGAAAACATGGCCGGAGGGCGCCATGGAACAGCTTCAGGACTGCTTTGCAACAACAGACTGGTCGGTCTTTGAAAACAGGGACCTTGAACAGTACACAGCATCTGTCCTAGGCTACATC